TGTATGTGGCTTTTTAGTTGTCGATTGGGGTGGTGATGGCTGCTATTAAGCCATGGTGGCGCAGTGGTTAGAGTGCAGTACTGCAGGCTACTTCTGCTGACTGCTGGATGCCTGCAATTTGGCAGTTCGAATCTCACCAGGCTCAAGGTTGATTCGGCCTTCCATCCTTCAGAGGTGGGTAAAACAAGGACCCAAATTGTTGGGGGCAATATGCTGACTCTGTAAACTGCCTAGAGAGAGCTGTAAAGCACTGTAAAGCAGTATATAAGTCTAAAGTGTTATTGCTATTAAGCCGTTGACTGTTGTTTCTTTATGCTGCCAAGTCCTCGGTTCCTAAGTACGTGATAAACTAGTGGTAAATTAGGACTCTTGTTAACTGAACAAGGGAGCCCATCTCCCAGGATTTAATCATTTCCCTGGCTATTTTTGTACCTGCTCTGCCAACAATTTTAGTAGCTACAAAATTGAACGTATGTCCTTGTTCATTGCAATGTGAAGATAGCAGTGAGTTCAGATCTCCTCATCTGATTGCTTGCTTGTGTTCTTTTAATTTGGTGGTTAACACCCAACATACATTCTGGTGAGAGAGAAGTTCCTTGAGGAATAAGCTCCAGCATGAGGCCGAAAACTTGGTAGACTAAACCTCTGGTCCTGGTGGCCAGCCCAGATTGGATCCTGCAGTAATTCTTCTACTTGCCTTAGGCTGCATCAGACTGTTTTAGTTTCCCAAACAGCGCATCTGATCTTCTGTCTCACTCCTACAACAACAACACCACACCCAGCTCAGCTGAATTTTGTTCTCCAACTCATCCTTCCCAAAAACACTCTAGGTCAGGAATACAGTAGGATGTTTAATTGAACATTGATTTATTGTCCTTTGTCCTTTGTGCCTTCTAATAAACAACGTTCACGTTGCTGTCACATGACATTTTGTGACGTCTTTCCCCTTCGCGGAGCTGGAGTGGGTGTGGCCTGTGCATGATGCATTCGCGCCCCGGGCCACCAGTTTGACACCCCTGTTTTAACAGAACTTTGTAAAGGAAAATCATCCAAGTCACTCTTATGGTTGGTTACTTTCATGTCCCTTTTAATAATTAAGATGTCCAGTTTCATTTGTATATCTAATACTTCATCTTTGCCCAGTTCATTCGTGTAGCTTGTCATTTTAAAATCCACATTCAGATCAACCTCGGTCTTAGGAAAATATCAAATCAGTCACAATTGAACAGATGTATTTTTTGTTCCAAATAGCTTGTAAGAGATTATTATAAAAGAACAGGCCCCTGTCACGCCTCCTATTTGTGCATAAATAAAAGACACAGTTTCGATCTCTTTGGAGGCATAGAGAGAACAGATAGTTGAGGGAGCACCTGCAGCTTCTGTGTCTTTGTTCTCTTTTATCACACAATCTGGATTATAGTATACTATATCCTGGCTGCCTTTCAAGTTGATCCTCTGTTATTAATGGTTTTGTGTAATTCATCTGCTCCTCCGTAGCAAGCAGGAGAACAAAAGCTTTCTTTGCACAACACAATTAATTAGGTCATGCAAATCCCTCAAGCAACTGCATTTGTAGAACGTGCACTGTGATACCATCACCTGTCTGGCCAGGAGTGGAGATGTTCTGTGCAATTGGGTATCTTCAGCATGCCGATGACACCCAACCCCATTCTGGCGAATGGCCTCCCCCAGAGGCTTCATGTAAATTTTAAGAGAGATCCCAGCTTGAGGGAGCTTGATAACTCCGATGAGCAGGAGATGGTGGTCCGAGACAAAGAACTACTGTAGTTTCAGATAGGGGACAGTGCAGGGGTGGGTTTCTCGCCCCCTTCCAACCGCTTCGGTTGGAACGGGGCCGGCGGCATCCTCGTGCACGTGTGTGGTGCACGCATGCGTACTAGCATCTGTGCGAGGCTCCAGCTGCTCCTGGAGGATCGCGCAGGCGCTGTATGCGTCCTGCGCATGCGTGGAAGCGCAGAACTCGTCAAAACCGGAAGTAACCAGGACTTCCTGGGG